ACTATAAACACTTAACTATTACTACTCCTGTCTAACTGTAACTTTCTATCAGCATCTCTCTTACCTCCCAGGGTTGGAAAACTGTCCTGTTTCTATAAATTCAACTGTTTTGGATTTCACACAAGATGTAAGTTTTATCTTTCTATAAACAGTTTAATCAATTCATATTTTATTATGTAAAAACTTAAGGTGATTCTTAAATATAAAATAACGATATGCAAAAGTAGCTCAGTAATGGAATGACTGTCTAGAATGTACAAGGATGAGTTCAATCTCCAGCACTATAATTTCTTAAAAGGACCATGGTGCTGGAGAGATGGCTCAGCGGTTAAGAGCACTGACTGCTCTTGCAGAGGACCTGGGTTTGATTCCCAGCACCCACATGGCAGCTACCACATGGTGGCTACGAACCATCCTTAACTCCAGTTCCAGGGGAATCCGAAACTCTCTTCTGACCTTTGTGGCATTTCACGACACGGGTGCACTCACATACATGCAGGCAATACACTCATACACATAAAATAAAAATAATAAAATATGAAAAAAAATTTTAAAGCCAAACAAAAAAAAAGATATTAAAATAATATTATAAGGGTTGGCAAGAAGGGTCAATGGGTAAAGGCACCTGTTGCCAAGACCAGTGTCCTGAGTTCAATCCCTGGAACCCACAAGATGGAAGGAGAGAAATGACTCTCCCAAGTTCTCCTCTGACTTCCAAATAAATAAATAAAAATAAACAAAAAACTTTAAAAATAACACTATAAATATTATCTTAAGTATAAAAAGTAGGTATGGGTATAAGATAATTAAAAAACTCATTACCACTAAGTTGCTAAATATCAGATTGTACTATAAACTGATTAAACAGTCCAGGCTCTTACTATTAGACAGAAACACATGAAAACAAATGCTTGACCAATTTTGCATAGCTAGATACAATTCTACGGTCTAATACTTTTTCTTTCTTTTGCTAAAACAATTACATACAGTTAGCTAATAGGCAATCCAAAATTTTAAAGCAAGTATCAATCTTTAAAAAAAAATTATTGGCCTTCTAATAAAGAATTCAAAAGTATTATCTAGGGTCAGGAAGATTCCTCAGCAGATAAAGCCTACTTGCCACTAAGCCTGACAATCTGAGTTCAGATACCAGACCCACATGCTGGAGGAAATAAACAACTCACAATAGTTGTCCATATACACACCACAGCACACACTCACTCACACCCACATTGTGTAAACAGAGGCTGAAGAGATGGCTTTAGCTGTTAAGAACACTTGCTGTTCTTGCAGAGGACCTAGGTTCACCTCCCAGAACCCACATGACAACTCACAACGATTTGTAACACCAGTTCCAGAGCTAACATCCTCTCCTGCCCTCTGCAGGTACCAGCCAGGCATGTGGTGCATATATATACATGCAGGCAAACACTCATACAAATAAATCTTTTAAAAGTAAATGAACACTCAGGAAGGCCAGCCTTTCTACATAGTGAGTTTCAAGCCAGCTGGGGCTACAGGGAGACCCTGTCTCAAAAAGACAAAA